TCTTTGCTTTTGTCATAATCATTATTCCATTCCTTTTCACATGTGAGAGGACAGCACAGATGCCTGCGTGACTTCCCCTGGTTTACAAACTTGCTGGCCTGAATCTTTTTTCCAGCCTACGGATTATCAGTCCATTTTAGGTTCACTCAGTCTTACTGTAATTCTGAGCAGTTGATGGTCTGTCCAGCCAGCTTTTCTGTGCAGTTCTGATGTCATCAGCATAAAAATATCATGGAACTGTTGGAACAAGTCCAGAGAAGGGCCACAAGGCTGATAAAGGGGCTCAAGCGCCTCCCGTATGAAGACAGGCTGAGGAAGTTGGGGCTGTTCAGTCTGGAGAAGAGAAGGCTGTGTGGAGACCTCATAGCAGCCTTCCAGTATCTGAAGGGGGGCCTATAGGGATGCTGGAGAGGGACTCTTCCTTAGGGAATTGTAGTGATAGGACAAGGGGTCATGGGTTAAAACTTAAACAGGGGAAGTTTAGATTGGATATAAGGAAGAAGTTCTTTCCTGTTAGGGTGGTGAGGCACTGGAATGGGTTGCCCAAGGAAGTTGTGAATGTTCCACCCCTGGGAGTGTTCAAGGCCAGGTTGGATAGAGCCTTGGGTGACATGGTTTAGTGTGAAGTGTCCCTGCCCATGGCAGGGGCTTGGTCCTTTCCTACCCTAACTATTCTATGATTCTATGATTCTGGCAATTATTAAAAATCTTCTAAACAAACCAATGTATGCTTATTGTGACCCATTATTAATGGGCTTTGAATTTCATTCAGTCTCTGTGAACTATAATAAATAGGAGGAACAAAAAGCAACCAAATCCAAAACAGTACAGTGTTTAGGGCCAGCTGGCAACCCAGAACCACACAGCCACTTGCTCACTCCCCCGCTTTCGTTCCCCTGCTCCCGGAGGGATTGAGAGGAGAACTGAAAAATGTAAGTCCCACAGGCTGAAATAAGAACAGCCCAGTGACTAAGGTATAACACAAACCACTACTGCAACCACCAGTAATAATAAAAAGGGAAATAACAAGGGAAGAGAATACAACCGCTCACCACCCGCCGACTGATACCCAGCCCGACCTGAGCACTGATCTTGCCCTTCTGGGTAACCGCCCCCAGTTTAAATAGTGGGCATGACGTGCTGTGGTATGGAATACCTCTTTGGTTAGTTTGGGTCAGGTGTTCTGTCTCTGCTTCCTTCCGGCTTCCCCCCCCCTCCCTGGCAGAGCATGAGACTCACAAAGTCCTTGGTCAGAGTAAACATTACTGAGCAACAACTAAAAACATCGGTGTTATCAGTGCTGTTCCCAGGCTGAAAGTCAAAAACACAGCACTGCACCAGCTACTGAGAAGCAGAAAAATGACTGCTACTGCTGAACCCAGGACATACAGACTACAGAGGAATTTTGAGATAGAAGCCCAATAGGTGCCAGATACCATTCAGACATAAAAGAGGAACGGGTGGTCCCTGTGTGGTTTGGGGCCTAACCATCCCCAAAATGTAGATGTCACAGAGTTGGAATGCAGCTGTCTAATTCAAGAGAAGACAGTTTAAAACTGGAAAAGAGAAAAAACACTGTGCCAATGGTGACTGCAGGGCAGCTTAGACAAGCAAATGTAATCAATTGTAAATTCGGCTGGAATACCAGCATGAAATGCCTCAGCGCTTACAGAGTGCCAAAGGATCCAGAGTTCACTCAGAGGCCTGGTTTCACATGTGTTCATCACCATATGAAAATGCAGTGAAGAAACGTGTATAATTACTTGTGACCACTCATTTCAGTGACTTAGACAACAAAAAACCTCAATCTGGAAAACTAACAATAATGCATAAATATATAGATGCATAATCTTAAGGGAAACAACAGATTTTCACAGAATACTGGGTTCTTCTTTGTACCAATGGTCAGGATTAGAATTTTACATCTTCCCTAGGCAGCTTTTCCTTACACTTTCTTTGATTTTCAAAGTTGCTGACAGAATATTCCAAGTAAAAGCTGGAAATTAAAGAACTCTGTTCTTATAAATATTAAAAATCTTTTTTAATACTTTTAAAAAGTTTTACAACAAAAGGTAATTGCACTTAATTTGTCTGCCACACTACTGGAGCTAAGTTAATGTCAAAAAACATCTGATTTCCTCCACCCTCAGTAATGGTTTATTACACATCCTTGTCTGGCATGAAATAATTCTGTAAAAAATAAACCAAGCATGAATCTTATTTGGGTTACAGAAAGGTCTGAATCGTTTATAACTGAATTAATTGCTAGTAAGGCTTATGAGCAGCCAATTAGTAATATTTGTATTTGGATCTGCCAGTTGGCCCAGAACTGAAAATTAATATTAGTTTCAACATAAAGACTGTAGTGTTCACAGATAAAAAACATTCAATAAAAAAAATCAAGAATATCCTTGAGAATTACTGTCTTGAATGGAACATGTCTGATAACTGGCCAGATAATTCTATTAGCCAAAACTGCCTAAGATCTTTCCCAACTGCTGATTCAAAAACTGATTCTGTATTCCTCATACAACATAATAAATTCTTGGTGCTACACCTGAAACCTGTATAGATGCTAGTCACTTGTGTCCATTAGACTTCCACATGACTCTGAGGACTGAATTTTCCCCACTGATGTCCTGCAGAAGCATCCTTTCAAAGACTATTAAGGAAAACTCATGTTCCGTCATCACTGCTTACAAGATGGAAACACAGGCTAAGATGTGGCTATACCACAGCTAATGGCTTCCAGGGGGACAATAACACTCTTCAGTTATTCTTTGCTCCACATCCTCTTCTCAAGCTGAATGTAACCCAGCAGAATGGGGCACCAGAGAAAACTGCAATTTCTGGAAAAGAAATGTATTTTTGAGCTTCCTTATGACTGAGCAAAGACTGCTCTCTGTGAACCTTGTTTCCTTTAGCTTGTCATCTTCCCATCACCCAAGTCTGATAAGACTCAGCCCAAAATTAAATATGAGCAGAGAAATAAATAGATGGAGAAGCACAGAAAAGAAGCTACCACAAAATAAAAGAGGAAGGATAAATATTGACAAAGCATTCACTCCAATCAGAAACTTGTGTGTTAGGCAAGCATCTCTTAAGTTATTCTGTAGCTCCTGATCAGAATATGTATATCGTGAGTCATGGCAATTTAAAAATTTTTCACTTAATGGAAAAGTAAATAATTGTATAACATGTCAAGGCACAATTCTGGGTGTCCTCAGGCACTTAAGCTCCTGGACTGTGTTTTTCCTCTTCCTTGAATGATCTTTAGCAGTGAACTGTTTTTTAATGTATTCTGTGTTCTTTACTACATACTGTGCTCTCTTTTAGGTTACAAACTTGAGAAGTTGTATAGCCAAAGGGGTTTTTCAGAAATTCAAAGTAACATATTTTGCCCATGAAGAATGCATTCACACTTTCTTGAAGTAAATTACAACAAAATCCTATATAATTAGAGCATAAACTTTAATGTATTAGTACCAGTAAGGAATGTTAGAAAAGGAAGACAGTGGAACACTCTGTAATGCTTAGAGGGGTATTTGAAAGCTTTTAAGCTAAGCATCATTTAAAACAGATTGTAATTAAGGATTTTTCTTTTTTTTTTATTACATATTAAGGTCTCTAAGACCATAACTTCCATAAATAGTCAAGAATAAACTACATTCAGACGTACATATAAGCACATTTCTTGGCACAGAGAAATGAAAACTGTGATTGCTGACATCTCTTTGAAGGAAGATTTTTCCCTTTTTTTTTTTCTTCATCCCAGCCCTTGTTTTATTTATATGGCTCTGCACACTTTTTATTTTTAATTATCCTAAGGAAAAGAAGGGGTGGAGAGAAAGAGATCTTTGTTTTCCAACTGAGACAGTGAAATACATTCCAAAGCTGCTTTTGTTTTTAATTTACAGAAGCCCTCATGTCTAATCTACTAAGCCAACGAATAATCTGTTTGCTAGGTTTTACATGACAGTCATGAAAAGTGCATACAGTTGCTGACTTCATTCTTTTTTAGGATATGGATTCATTCTCTGCCACAGACTTGAAAAAGATTCTTTTGGAGAACTTTTCACAATTAATTTATTTTTAATTATGCATTTTGTTTCTCAGGAGTTACTTCTTTTTTACCCAGTTGCTTGATATCTTTGGCTCTCTTTTCCTTAATACAACAAAAGGAGTGTGTGCCTATCTGAAAGATAATATAGCTAGGTCTGTACCCTTCCCCAACAAAAGCAGCTGTTTAAAAGCAAAAAGAAGGGTACTGAGAAATGTGTTCCCCTCAAAAAAAAGGTACAGAGCAGATGAGCATTCCCACATATTTCCATACACAGGGAAAATTGCAATTTTCATCCTTCTGTCCTTTCAGAATAACTCTATATCCTACTTTTCCTAATACTTAAGGTGAATCTCAGTATTTAAATACTTAATGTGTATCCTGAGATCCATCAAGAAATTCCATGAGATTATGGGGGAAAACTGGAGAAAGCAGGGCAGCAACACAAAAATACAGTGTCTCTACACTGCTGTAAATATCTTCTCAGAAATTCATGTATGCAGGCAAAGCAGAAGCACTGTTATCCAGTCAGATTTTTGGATGGTATGATCTATTGCAAGGAAATTTCTTCTGGTGCAAAGGAGTACACAGTTACATTTTATTTACTTCCCTCCTCTCAATTCTAGTACGTCTCTTCCACTAGAGCACCATAAATCTAAGAAAGCAGTATCAATGTACTTCAAGGACAGAAAGATCAGTACCTGCCAGCTTCCCCAAAACTGAGTTTTGCCAGGATTTTCACAGGTGATGCCAGGGCTCAGAATGCATTGTGTTCCTCTGGAAATGCTAATTTATCATTTGTCCCTCTCTTTCTTTTAAAGGATATAGGGCTTGAACAACCCTGAAGCTAATAACATAACTGGTACATTTCTTGTCTTCAAAATGGCCCATTTATTGATGTCTTAAGGGTATTCAAACTGTACTTAGAAGTGGAACTTACTTTGGAGAGAAAAGGGAACAGGATGAAAATATCCCAGGTAAAAAAATTCTGCTCCAGATGTGCATCTTACTTTCCATAGAGTTACTCCATTCACAAGTATTAACCAATCTTTTCCACTTTATGCACATTCCCAGAGCATTGTGCTGAATGCTGTGAAGATCCTGGCTATATGACTTTAGCCCAACAGAAGCAAAGAAAACAAACAAAAAAAGGCAAAGAGACTGCAAATAAACAACCTTTTTAATATGCTAGACATGCAAACAAGAATTTGAGGAAAGTGTAGAAGTATTACTAGCATTTTAATTAAACTCACATCTATCTTGTTTGTAAATATATATGAAGGATGTTCATAGTCCCAGCCTTTGGGTGGTAGTCCCTAACTTACATAAACTAGAACAAAGGTATCCATTGTCTACCAGCTGTAGGGAAAAGGCTTTGGCCACAGCTTTTACTGCAAAATTATGGGTGTAGCCAAATAGAGCATTACTCAGTTGAAAAACAAATAAAGTTTAAAGTTATTTGTATAAATTTCTTCACAGGCAGTTGTTGATTTTAGATACATTGCAGAGTGAGCAGATGAAAAGCTCCCCATTTAATCTTACTGCTGTGAATTCTCATTTAATTCAAGGGGCTTATTTTACCGAATACTTTCCTTCTATTTTATTCTTGTTGAGTTCTGTATTACTGTACAAGTCAACCGACTCTCATGCTAGCCAGAAAATAAAGAGGCATTCTGTGCTAGTGAGATTCAGAATTTATAATTTTTTTAAAGCCATCATAACAGATGCAATTTTTCAAGTTTTGTTAATGAATTTCTTGAGAAGAAAAAGCAACCAACAATCCAGAATCAGAATTTTTTCTTAATTTGTCTATTTACGTTATGTTCACATATCTTTTTTACTCAGAGATTTAGAATCTGTATTCACCGAGTCCGTCTTGCAAAACTGTCAGTGCCCCTTCATGAAGTAACTCGTTTCTCCACCTCTCAAATACCTTCAACTCTCTTGGATGAAATAAGGAGATGCAAATTCTTTCTCAGACCCATATAAATATATATGGAGGGAAAAAACCCTATTCAAAGTAGTTTGCATGGAGTCAGAACATGAGCTCAAACCCTCTTTGTCCTGTATCGTTTACCTCCACAGTAGAGCAGCCTCAAGCAATGTTGATGGATCTGGCATAAGAAGAATGAAAAAAGTTTCTTAATGAGGGCAAACTGTGGCACAGGCAGTCAAGCTATAGGATTAAATGTGAACAACTCAAATACGTGGCACTGCCACCATTCCCCGTAAGTACTGTAACTGAGACAGCTTGCATTGTCCTGCATTTCCCCTCCATTGCATCCTTCAGCCAATGTAGTGATGTAGTGTAGTAAAATTAGATGGAATGATTGCAAGAAACTGGTTTGCAGGAGGCTGGGGAAAAAAATATTTTTTTTTCTATCACGTGCCACCATAACTTTGCCAGCGGCTCCCAGGCCACACCTACAGGCAAAGACAATTTAAGAAAGTAATGCAGCCTCCCTCTCAATGCTCCTGGTCAGGCTGCTGTGCTTTTCATTCTTTTTTTTTTTTTCCTGCCTTTACAACCCCCGTGAGGCACATGTTCCTCAAAGCGAGAACTACTCAAATATAGTTTACGTTACCCCACAGAACATTATAAAGAGGCAAGAAAATTGTCAAGCAAGGTGACAAGTTTTACACCAAAAATTATTTTGTAAACTCTCCGAGATGCTGTCACAACAAACCCAGAGGAAGAATTCTACTTTCTCAGCAGCCTATATTGGAGAAGGTGACAGAAGAGCAGAAAGGGAAAAGGAAGACTCTCACATGTGCTTGGGATGCTTTTCAGATCCTCAGCTTTGTCTATACTTAGGCTGCTAGATGACTTATGATTGCTAGTCTCTACTGCCAGTGCAACTGTTCACTTCAATTCTGCATGTTCCTTGATGGGTTGGTTACATTTTCACAGATGCTATCATCACATCTTAACTGTAATAATCATTTGTTTGAGTTGTGCTGTTACTGTGCTAAGGCTGCCAGCCAGCTCTTCTGTACTGAAATGTCCAGTGCTGGTGAATAGTGCAACTGCCTGATAGCAAGCCTAGAAACTCCTTCTTAAAATGTTTCTTAACTTAGCACTGCTTTGTAGGGAGTGATTATTTCCATGACCTGATGAGAGAAAATATGATGGAAAGAATGAGTGCCCAACAAAGCAGCAAATAAGGGTATGGACAGGTGACTGCAAACTACAGTTAGCACAGCTTAACAAATTCCCACTTAGTAGACAAACTGTTAAGGGACCACACCATATTTGTGATTCACTGTTATTACAAAGGAAAGTAGATTAGATTAAACCAGTTGTCAGTTGAAATCATGACATTCTAATATGTAATACCTCTTATCTTGGAATTATAGGCTAGAAGCATGCACATGAGTAATTAGGAATAACTCCTTAAGTTATGAAAGCCCAATTACTCACCTCTCCCTGTTCTCTAAAGTTCTACCCATTTGTTGCAAACCAGTGCTTGGACTACAATTTCCATCCTAAAAGCACTCATAGTTCTCACATGTACTTTACACAAATAAACAGAAATATAAAATTTTCAGCCGTAAGTTGGTATCCACAGCAGTCAGTAGGACTAGATCAACAGAAGTGCTTCTGCTCATAAGATGAGACCAAGGGGAATATACCTGCATCTATACTCAGGCCTATTACAGACCTATTTGTCTCAGAGGACTTAACCAGAGCACAGTGTAACTTCCTTCCTCCTTGTGCACCAAATTTCCTTTTCAAAAGGAATCCAGGTTCACAAGGGGACTGTGCATCACATTGCATTCTGACTCCCAGTTAAGCTGGGATAGTCTGTATTCTGGAGCACAAACACAGCCAGCAGTATCTTGGAAAAGACCAGCCAATATATTCAAGGCTCTAAGGTTTATTAACACGAGATACTGCCAGCTCAAGCTGAAAATTAACACATTCAGCAGTGACCTACAGGTTCAGGAAATGGTGGATTACACAATTTCTGTCGCTTGATTTTACCATTACCTATTTCACTTTGAGATCCCAAACTATGACTTAAGCACACACACACACCCCCCCCCCCCCCCCAGCACTGTATTTTATTTCCACAGCTCACTATGTTTAAATGAAACCAGTCTCCTCCCACAAGTATGCACAAATATCCTCAAAATTATTTTAGAGTAAGAAATTGTTTACAACAGCCTTAAGCTTAAGAAGAAGTTGTAATCAGGAAGGATAATGTCCTGGGTTCAGCAGTAGCAGTCTTGTTCAGATAGCATCTACCACTTTAGCACATCAAGTAAAAAAAACAGACAAAGTTGGCTGCAGCATGCAAGCTTTCTAATTAGGAAGGTTTTCTGCCTGATACTAGGAATTCAGTGCATACTCCTCCCCTCAAACAAGTCATGAGAACAGAGTTGGACTCCCCTTTACTTCTCCTTCACTGACATAGATGCTCCTGCTAAGCCATGGTAATACTGTGTCACATGAGGCAGCACATAAGTAGAGAAAGGAAATGGATTACTGCACTGATATGAAGCTTTTCATTAGAAGAAACCCACAGGAATTGGGTACCTTAACAAATAGGTATATTTGTTATATATATAATATAACAAATCAGGCAAGAGGTACCCTAATCCCTGCACCAAGATGCAGACTAAAGCCTATCAGGCATGAATACTTCTGTGTCTACTAGAGTACAATCAGAAAAGAACTGAATTTGTAAAATTAGACCAGAAAAGACAGAACCAATTAGACATTAGGAACCAATGACAATATATATCAGCTAAACAGAACATTTACCCTCTTTTTTTCTTTAACCCTTTGTTCACTCAGGATGCTCTTTATTCCATGGCATTTTTATTAGCTCAGATCAGAGTTTAACAACTGATCATGCTTTTATTCTTTCTGAAAAACAGATGTTATTATTTACTGGCTTTTTTAGAAATATTAATATATTTCTAAATAACATACATACTTGTGTAACAATATGTTTCTTCATAGCAGTATTTCAAAATTTTATAGTAGTTTGAAATCCTTTTTAAATCACAAAATGTATAACATGTGGACAGTAGCAGGATGAACTCCTCTATGCTGCCATCACCTGCTTTTTTATCTCCCATGCTTTCAAATGCCAGTTTCTCCACTGGAAGCTGTAACGCAAGTGCCAGTTCCAAGAAGCTCATGATTCTTCACAAACTGTTAAATGTATGTATTCACCAGCACAAAGTTACTGAGGATCTTATTGCCCTATGTGAAAATTCATCTTGGCTGAGTCAAAGAATTTTCCCATCTTGACCTGGACTGAAAGTACTGAATTCTGAATATGAAGAAATAGCTATGATTATTACACTGAATAACATTAAAGAGCCTACAAGGTAAGCAAATGAAGCAGGTATTATACAACATACCATAAAGCAAACAATATAAGCTAAACATTATGAGAATTGGTCAGTGTCTCACAAGTATGTTTCTCATTTTAAAATCAGAATTTTGCCTTTTTAATCTTATGAAAGTTTTAGGGGCATGATGCTCTGTGACACTTAATGGGAAGCCAATTCTTTTTTCAGCTCAAAGAAGAATGGCACTGCTATGCAACCACTTTGTGGCCCATGTGACAAGATCTAAGCAAGGCACAGAGAAATCAGCCTTCCTTCTTTTAAACACTACTCTCATTAACAAAAGCATCTGGAGCTAGTCTGGTTATTAAATATACTCATAGGGAGATCACATTGCCTAGGTGGCACTAAATAAGTAGTTCTGTATTGTCTTTGTTTTACAGCTGCCAAAACCAACCAACCAAACAAACAAAAAAAATAAACAACATCCCCCCAAACAAAACAAGCAAACAAAAAAAAACAACCCAGAAAACCAACCAAACAAACAAAAAACCACCCCACCAACAAAACAAAACACTCAACCCCCCAAAAAACACAAATAAGCCTCAGTTACCAGCTACCACCTTAACAGTGGTACTGTTACTACTTCTTAGTAAACTAGTTCACTGAAAACGTCTGGCTTAAAGTAGCTGGGTTGAAATATGGAGGTGGTACACTTGCTTGCTTGTCAACTGAGAACAGTTTACCAATCCAGTTTACAGTGTGGTTACACAGAGATACATAGACACAAGTAGGACAGCAAGATACAGCAATACCAGGGCATCTTTTGATACTGTAGCAAGCCCATCAAGGAACTACACTTTCTACATACCCCAAGGAGAGGCTAAGGCCTGTAAGAGCAGTTTGGATTCTTAGAAAAACAGAACATTGCATTTTTATAAAAAAATTTACTTAGCATTTATAACACTTCACACATTACATCAAAATACCCAGGACACTACACAGGAGCCCATGTGCTGACTTGATTAACTAATAGCAGGACACTAATCTACTTAATTAATGCATCCTCTGAAGCGCAGATAGGAAAACAGAACACAGAGGGATGAAGTTTCTTGAAAACAGAAATGGAGCAAATGACAAAATATTCTTGCAGGAATATCCAGGTCCCTAGTGAGTAAAAAGGTGAAGCCCTGTATTATTCTTTAAGAAAGTGAATTTACAAGCCACACACCTTGAGAATCTATTTTTTCTTATGGCTTTTAACTGCTCCCCCCACCACAACTCCAAGCCCCTTAGCACCACATAACCAAACTCAGATTTTCTTTTAGCCTTTTAACACTCCTGCTCTATTATTGTAAAGGTCATGTCCTCAAAGCAGGACCCTTATCCCATCCTTTCCTAACTCTGACTACCCCATCAATTCAGCACCTTTTCCTCTACCTCCCAACCCACCTGAGTATATGCAATATATACAAGATAGCTTATTCCTTTTTCAGGACAGCCAGTGTAAGGTAGTCTGATATGAGAAGGCTCTCCAGGCTAGTTTTCCAAAACTCCAGGCAGTCACTTTGACTGCTAATGTCAAAGACAAAGCTTGTGTATTAATAAAACTGGAAACTACTACCTTGTCTCACATGGTGAAATCCTGCTCTCCTGGGTTTGGGAATGAAGATTAAAGATGGTGTGGTCAGAACTGAAAGGCATAAAACCAAACACCTTCACACCAAGTAGTTACTTTTTTTGTGACCTTGACTACTAACTCAAGGAACTGTTTCCAAGCTCACCTTAGTGATGACACACGGAATTTCATGGCTGGGGGAAGAGATATTATTCAGCCCCTCACTTGCTCCTCCACCACATATTTAAGAAACAGAACCTGAATAGCAACTAAAGGCTTGGTATATTCAGTCGAGATTAAAGGCTGCATGTTCAAATAGGCACTAACTTGGGTGGGTTGGTTGAATTCTCCCTACAGTTGTTTTATTCTGGGAACCCCACAATGGAGAAAAGAATTCTTTTGATATTCACATTTCAAAGAGCACACTTTTGTGAATGTTTTCAGTAGATGATAGCACTACTGATTTATATAGACTGTGTATAAACCTACACATGCATATGCACAAACATACATGCACAGCATATACGTAAATATATGTAGAACTGTCTGTAACAAAGAAGGAGATCCTTTCATTTTGCCTTTTTTGCTTCTCACTCCAGGAATCTATCCTTGATCTTGACAGAACTGATAGTTTATAATGAATACTTTTCCAGCTTTCATGACTGGCATCACAGAAACACCTGGGACTAAGATTTGTTCACCACGGGTTTATTTATTTTTTAGACATAGCTACTGTGCTGTTTGCCTCTAATAAACATTTTTATTGTGTTTAAATATTTTATTGGTTCAGGCAAAAACAAAGCAAAAGAAAACAAACAAGTAAACAAAAGGGTCTGCTGTGTTTCTACAAGTGGAAAGAGACCCTGAAAGGATAAACTGGGCCAAAGTCACAATACATGCCGCTGACTGCACTGCAGACAGTCACACAGCTACACATGACATAGTAGCACTTCATTTTCCCTTTAGTTACCTATACAGAGAGATACAGGAAAATGGTGATAGCTCTCAAGAAAACCCTGATTCCTATTTAAAGTACTTGGACGGTGCTCAGAAATGTGGCATTCACTTTGTATTACACTCATCTCTACAACAACCCTGTGAGGTTCTGAATATATTATTCTCATCTAACAGGAACCAATAAATTAAAAAGGTAAATGATCTACTGAGGGTGACACCAGAAACTTCTGTCAAAGCTCCAGGAATCTCACATTTACGACTACAACATGTTTTGTTGCATCAGTTTAATACAACTGGTAACAATCCCACAAATAATATCAAAAGGTGAATAAAACATCAGATGTACAGCACAGTAAACCATATTTCCGAAGAAGAAATTTAAAGATGCAATACCCCATTAATTTTATTTGAAGGAACCAAGTCATCGCAGTCAGAGAACATTCAGGATCTCCACTGATGTGGTCAGACTTCCTTTGTCATTATGACATCCCTTCCTACTTTCTTTCTTCCTATTTGTCTGCTTAAGATTTGAAACCTCTTGAATTAAGATATTAGACTTAAAACTGCCTATTCCATGATTTTAACTATTTCCAATTACAACTACTCTTCTAAGTAAATTATAGAGATTAGAAATAGAACTATCTGAAAAAGTATGATTTGTTTTAGTTAATCTCTTTACAAATGCTCTTGACTAGCCCTGTAAACAGGGGGAAAAAAAAACGAAGAATCAAATATCTCACAAAATTAAGAACATTTGTTCTACAGGTGAGGCTTTGTTATTTAATCTAAATAGAGAATGTGTAACCTACAGTTAAAGCCTTGGTTTGCTATCTTCTTTGTACATATGAATAATTCATGTTAAATTGTCTTAAAACACAATCAATGATCAATGTCTTATTTGATAACCTTTTTGCAAAAGTATAAACTCCACACAGGGTAGAAAACAGTGAAGAGTCACTCTCTTGTTTGCATGCAGATTAGCACGAAGAAGCTATTTTGAAGCCACTGAAACACTTACATGAAAGTGCTAGTGCTTACGTAGGCAGTTTAAGAGTGCAACTATGGAGTCTGTAAACCTCAACATCCCCCTATAGTCTGCTGCTCCAGCTGAGTGCGGAGAGGAATAGCATTCTACAGAGTATTTTTGCTTCTTTCAGTACCTTGCATTTTAGTCTAGCCCATCTCGGGAAAGAAGCTTCACTGGAAGTTCAATCAATTCCACAGCTTCAGATGCGCTTAAAACCAGCGTACATGAAGAGGTGAATAAAAGGGAGCCTGACCCAAACTAGCCAAAGGGGTATTCCATACCACAGCACTTCATGCCCACTATATAAACTGGGGGAAATTACCAAGAAGGCCAGTGCCAGATCAGTGCTCAGGTCAGACTGGCTATCAGTTGGCAGGTGGTGAGCAACTGTATTCTCTCCCATTGTTATTTCCCTTATCATTACTATTATTGGTAGTAATGGTTTTGTGTTATACGGTAGTTACTGGACTGTTCTTATCTTAGCCCATGGAGTTACATTCTTTTGATTCTCTTCCTCATTCCTCTGGGAGAGGGGGTGGGGGGAAGAAGGGAGGAAGTGAGCAAGCAGCTGCATGGTTCCGAGTTACTGGCTGGGCTTAAACCACAACACACTAAAAACTCCAATAAGTAGCCAGGAATTTCACAAAACTCAAATCAGGGTAATGGCATGCTTTCACTTCTGTTGCATATCAGTTCTTTCTGGACATGTATTTTGAGAAGAATGAAATAACTAGGTGGGATCTCAGGAAAAAGGGAATCATTTCCCAGTTCTGGCACATTTTAAACAAATAGTTTAATCTTCAAGTCTTAGCTCCCCAGCAGTAAAAAAAAACAGGTATCAGTTCATTTATTCGTTCTCATTTACATAGGTTGTAAATGCTGAAGGGCAGAGGCCATCTCTTATTATGGATTTGTGTAGTGTCTAATACAATAGAAGTATGAACACAGCAGGACCTTTAAGAGCTATCTCATGTTTGAAGTACATTCAAAAATATATTGTTCCATGCTGTATGCCCCCAGAGCTTATTACAGCAACAGCTAAATAAAGGATTCACAAGCACCGAGCATAATTTAGTGCCAGAAATTAAGGGGTCAAAAAAAGTATCTATTAATACTTGCCTGTCTTCATTCCTTCCCTACATAGATTGCCAGCATTACAGCATGTGAAGAGAGAAGGAGAAACAAAATCTAGATCTGTTTTTGGTTAATAAAGAATAACAAAAAGCTCCTAAGAAATCTCAATACAAGTTCTTCAGCCCTAAATTGCGCCCCCCCCCCCCCCCCAAAAAAAAAAAAAAAAACAACAAAAACACATAAATTGGCATTAATGAATAACAATCCTTTTGCTTTGTCTGGCAGGAAGAGCCACCTTTTCTAAGGGAGAAATACACAATAATCTAGAAATCCTGTTAATAACATAGAGTCCTGAACTTTAATTTATTAATGAATGGACGTGCACCCATGCTGTAATCAGGAATTTCAGCATCGCCTTTGATGCTTCATTGGTCACAAAGCTCTTACAAAATGTTTGAAGTGTCTGGCTGTGTAATAATGATTTATAATTCTCTTGAACCAAAGCAAAATTTCCTAGTAAAAATCATTTTTGAAATAAAAAATAAATTGTGACTGGAGGGTCTGGGTTTGTTTCAAAAAGAGATCACCCACAAGCAGCAAATTATTTAAAAAGCCACTGGTTCTAGTGTTTTGAGATAGCGTACAACTCAGAATTTCAAAGTAGTGTTAATTAAGATCAGTTTATTAAAATGTCAATCTTGCTAACCAAAAAATTCTCTACCATGAATACTAGCTGCAAGTTCCTTTATGTTCAACTTTTCATGAAGAAA